TCTGGCGTGGGCTGGTCCATGAGGTCACGAAGAATCATAGAATCATAGAATCAAAGAGTTGGAAGAGACCTCCTGGGCCATCCAGTCCAACCCCATTCTGCCAAGAAGCAGGAATATTGCATTCAAATCACCCCTGACAGATGGCCATCCAGCCTCTGTTTAAAAGCTTCCAAAGAAGGAGCCTCCACCACACTCCGGGGCAGAGAGTTCCACTGCTGAACAGCTCTCACAGTCAGGAAGTTCTTCCTCTTGTTCAGATGGAATCTCCTCTCTTGTAGTTTGAAGCCATTGTTCCATTGCGTCCTAGTCTCCAGGGAAGCAGAAAGGAAGCTTGCTCCCTCCTCCTCCCTGTGGCTTCCTCTCACATATTTATTTATACATGGCTATCATCATATCTCCTCTCAGCCTTCTCTTCTTCAGGCTAAATATGCCCAGCTCCTTAAGCCGCTCCTCATAGGGCTTGTTCTCCAGACCTTTGATCGTTTTAGTCGCCCTCCTCTGGACACATTCCAGCTTGTCAATATCTCTCTTGAATTAACTATAAATACCAGCAACTACAACTCCCAATCTTTTTTTGAGTGATGGTCACTCCTTGGGTTAGTAGGTGTCTTGTGGCCAAATACAGTGTCAATTCGCCCAGTTGTTTTTGAGTTATGTTAATCCCACAAACTAACATTACATTTTTATTTACATAGATATTGTACTATGTTCATAATATAATCTATTGTATGTACATATACCTTGTAAGCCGCTCTGAGTCCCCTTCGGGGTGAGAAGGGCAGCATGTAAAGGTTGTAAACAAATAAATGTCCTGCTCCACACCACTCTGCTAAGTACTAGAAATGACAGGCTCAAAAGAGGATGGGCTCCTGTCTCTGTCCAGGTTCTCCATTGTAACAGCGATAAGCAAAAAATGTACAAGAGGCAGAAGCTATTTGAAATAAATGTGCCGAATTCAATTAGGAAGATGATGCATTATGTAATGATGACAAATCTTTTATACTCCTATGAAATGAACTCCAATACATTTCCTCTGAAGTTCAAAAGCGTTCTCCCTCGGATAAGGTCAGGAATGACAGGCAAGTGTCCTTCAAAGACATTCCTCCAACGCAATCCCACGGTAGGCTCTGCACTCCCCCCTTTGGGACCTTATCCTACAGTCTGTGACAAATGAAGATGCAACCTACAGTAAAGAACCTCCTTCAATGCGTGAAGGAGACTGACTGGATCACTGGCAAGTTGATCTTTGGGCTTTTGGCTTTTTTTGAAGAGATGCCCAAACATCGGTGTTCTGAAAATCAAAGATGGTTGTAACAAATAAGGGATTTTAAGATTTACTTGCTGTCCCCTGCCACTCGTTGCTGTGGCCCAGTCTGTATATATGTGTATTGTCAAAGGCTTTCATGGCCGGAATCACTGGGTTGTTGTAGGTTTTTTCGGGCTATATGGCCATGATCTAGAGGCATTTTCTTCTGACGTTTCGCCTGCATCTATGGCAAGCGTCTTCAGAGGTAGTGACTACCTCTGAGGATGCTTGCCACAGATGCAGGCAAAACGTCAGGAGAGAATGCCTCTAGACCATGGCCATATAGCCCGAAAAAACCTACAACAACCCACTGTATATATATGTTTATATGTGTGTATATATTTATGTATATGTGTATATATGCATGTTTGTGTATATATATGTGTGTGTGTGTATGTATATATGTGTGCATATGTGTATGTATATATATGTGTGTGTATATTTTATTTTATTTTATTATTACTATTATTATTGGGTTGTTGTAGGTTTTTTCGGGCTATATAGCCATGGTCTAGAGGCATTCTCTCCTCCCAGTGATTCCGGCCATGAAAGCCTTCGACAATACTATTATTATTATTATTATTATTATTATTTTATTGTAATGTAATTTTGATAATCATAGAAACAAAGAGTTGGAAGAGACCTCATGGTATGCCATCCAGTCCAACCCCATTCTGCCAAGAAGCAGGAATATTGCATTTAAATCACCCCTGACAGATGGCCACCCAGACTCTGTTTAAAAGCTTCCAAAGAAGGAGCCTCCACCACACTCCGGGGCAGAGAGTTCCATGTTGTTGTTGTTGTCTGATGTATATGCTTTGATTTTATTGCTGTATTATGTTGTCCGGGCTTGGCCCCATGTAAGCCGCTCCGAGTCCCCATCGGGGAGATGGTGGTGGGGTAGAAATAAAGAATTATTATTATTATTATTATTATATGTATATTGTGTATATGTGTGACCTTGTCTGTATGCATATTTATGTTTATATGTGAGTGTATGTATGTGAGCATGTGTATATTTGTGTGAGTTAATGTGTATATGTATATATGTGTGTATGTGTGTATATTTGTTTGTGCTTGTGTATGTATACATGTGTGTATGTAAGTGTGCATGTGTGTGTGTGTGTGTGTGTGTGTGTATATATATATATATATATATACACACACACACACACACACACACATATACACATACATATATATATGAGTGTATGTGTATATGGTGTATTTGGAGGGGGTTTTTTTGTGTGTTTTTAGGGGTGAACGCTCGTTGAACTGTTAGGTGTATTGTGTCCAAATTTGGTGTCAATTCATCCAGTGGTTTTTGAGTTCTGTTAATCCCACAAATGAACATTACATGTTTATTTATATAGATGGCTAGGATATTCGTGCCTCTTGGCCTCAGTTAAGCCTTTTCAATGTGTACATTCTCACACCAGAAGCGACTTGCAGTTTCTCAAGTCGCTCCTGACATGACAAAAATAAAAGTGTACATCAAGTGGAATAGGGGTTATATAATAATAATAATAATGTTTAAAAACGGGGACATTTGCATAGACAGCGATAAGAGAAGATGACATACTGTTTGCTGAATCCTACCAGGCTGAGCATCAGACAAGTCTGGGAAGTTGAGGCAGTAGATGGAAAGTTTTTTAACTAACGAAGTAAATACACAACAGTCAAAATCCATTTTGGAAATACTCAAAACATCTGCAAGGAAGTTTTATGTCCCGTTCTCTAGCCCAAACAAAATATAGCACTACGAAAGATATATCAATTTAAAAACAATATATTGTTGAAGGCTTTCATGGCCGAACTCACTGGGTTGTTGTGCGTTTTCTGGGCTGTCTGGCCATGTTCCAGAAGCATTCTCTCCTGATGTTTCACCCACATCTATGGCAGGCATCCTCAGATGTTGTGAGGTGTGTTGGAAACTAGGCAAGTGGTGTTTATATATCTGTGGAATAATGTCCAGGGTGGGAGAAAGAACCATAGTCTGTATGAGGTAGGTGTGATTGTAGCAATTGGCCTCCTTTAGGTAAAGGCAAAGGTTTTCCCCTGACATTAAGTTTAGTCGGGTTGGTGCTCGTCTCCATTTCTAAGCCGAAGAACCAGCGTTATCCATAGACACCTCCAAGGTCATGCAGCCAGCATGACTGCATGGAGCGCTGTTATCTTAACTTGATATTATTAATAACTTGATATTATTGTTGAAAAGCAGAGATTTCTCTTGCTAGAAATCAAAATATATGTTGTTTTAATGTCATGAATTCTTCCATATGTATTTTAGAACTTATTTATTGTATGTTGTTTTATGATACTATTTATTGTATAGCATTGAATTTTGCTTTTTAGCCGTTCTGAGTCTCTCTACGGAGGTAGAGAAGAAAGGGATACAAAAGTTCCAAATAACTAACTAAATAAATCTTCCGCCAGAGCGGTACCTATTGATCTACTCACATTTGCATGTTTTCGAACTTGTAGGCTGGCAGAAGCTGGAGCTGACAGCAGGAGCTCATGCTACTCCCCGGATTCGAACCTGTGACCTTTCAGTCAGCAAGTTCAGCAGCTCAGCAATTTAACCTGCTGTGCCACTGGGGGCTCCTTGATTAACATTCAATGGCCTCGCCGTCTTCAAGGTCTGGCTTCTTATTGCCTGGGCAAATCATTTGTTGGAAGGTGATTAATTGGCCCTGATTGCTTCTTGTCTGGAATTCCCTTGTTCTTGAGTGTTCCTCTTTATTTACTTTCCTGATTTTAGAGTTTTTTTTGATACTGGTAGCCAGATTGTGTTCATTTTCATGGTTTCCTCCTTTCTGTTGATATTGTGAGAGTGGTTCTCAAATAATATGTTGTGTCCAGGTTGGTTCCTCAGGTGCTCTGCTATAACTGACAAGAAGCATGTGGACATTTCAATAGAAAGGAGGAAACCATGAAAATGAACAAAATCTGGCTCCCAGTATTAAAAAACTCCAAAATCAGGACAGTATATAGGAAACAATAAGGGACAGCTAAGTACCTCCCAACAAAAGACTCCCCCAGGCACTGCCAGGCCATCAAATGCTAATCAAGGTGGTCAGTTGAAACATTCTCACCTAGTTCCAACAGACAAGAGTTCTTTGTCCCACCCCGGTCCTTCCACAGATATATAAATCCCATTTTCCTAGTTCCAACAGACCTCACTACCTCTGAGGATGCTTGCCACAGATGCAGGTGAAACGCCAGGAGAGAATGCTTCTAGAACATGGCCATATAGCCCGAAAAAACCTACAACAGCCCAACTGTATTATTGAATATATACTGTCATAATTGAGACTCCAGAAGAATTAAACGTTCACTTTTTTGTCAAAATAAAGAGGCAAGCTTTCTAATCTTTAGATGCGTCCATGTTTTCATGATTTCTAATGGGTTATCCAACATGTTAAAATGAGGAACATATGTCTAAACCCTGCTAGAAACTGTGCTACTTGGTTCCTTCTCATGTTATTTTTACAGACTGAGCCCCACAGCCTCAATTAATCATTGTCACGACTATAATGTAACTTCAGACTAAAATATTATAAGAACAAATGGGATAATATGACAAGAGCAGACATGCTGTCTGGGTGCATCTGATCTGAATATTTCCACGTAGTAAAAAGCATGCAGTAGTAAACAAGTGGCGTTGCTGTAAGAGCCGAGGGAGACGACTTACCTAAGTTGTGTCGCTTTGCCTTTGCGTGCTCGTGGATGTGCTTCTTTGTGAAACAGCCAAAGAAAACACAATAGAGGCAAGAATGGAGTCTGTTCAGATGTGCACCACACATATGACAGATACACGACTTTGCCTGAAAGGGTGAAAAGAGGATCGTTAGAAACATCCACTGCTGTATCATAGGCATTCATTCACACAAGTTACATTTACCAAATCTAGCCATGAGTTATAGTACTTGCATCATACAAGGTCTCTAAGGGAGGGCTTTGAAACATGCCTTTTGGTTATCACACAGGGGTTCAGTCTGCTTCACATTATTAGCATTAAGGAGACAAATACTACTACTACTACTACTACTAATAATAATAATAATAATAATAATAATAATAATCTTTATTGTTAACTGGCGCTCCTTACAGAGAGAGGTCAACCCTCCTGTTTAAGGAGCTCCATTGGTTGCCGTTCATCTTCCGGTCCCAATTCAAGGTGCAGGTGCTCACCTACAAAGCCCTAAACGGTTTGGGACCCGCCTACCTGCGTGACCGCATCTCCATATATGAACCCACGCGCTCCCTTCGATCGTCTGGAGAGGCCCTGCTCACGATCCCACCTGCGTCGCAAGCGCGTTTGGTGGGGACGAGGGACAGGGCTTTCTTTATGGTGGCCCCCCGACTCTGGAGCTCTCTCCCCAAGGACATCAGACAAGCCCCAACATTGGCAACCTTTAGGAAGAGCCTGAAGACCTGGCTGTTCCAGTGTGCCTTTCCAGATTAGGAAACTCCTGGCATCAAGTCCCAAATGCGCTTTGTTAGAGATTCAGGATTATCTGCACATTGCACCTACCTCCAAATACCTCTACATATCACCTGTCAAGTCTAGCACTTATAAATTTTGTCCATTACATTTGGCCCGGCCCTTAGGTTTTAAATGCGTCATCGTGTCATTGTTTTTACTCTTCTAATGTTTTGCTTGATGTTTTTATTTGCTTATGAGTTTTATTGTGTATTTGTATGTTATTGTTTGTTGGCGGCCTTGGCCTTTATAAGCCGCATCGAGTCCTTCGGGAGATTTTGCGGGGTATAAATAAAGTTAATAATAAATAAAATAATAAAATATTAATACCCCACCACCATCTCCCCAATGGGGACTCAGAGCGGCTTACATGGGGCCAAGCCCGAACAACATATTACATCAAAATAAAACCAAAACATAAACAACAAGCAACATGATCAAAATTACATGGAAAAAATACAATAACAAAATAACATTGCAATAAACAAAAAATACAGTCGCAGTGACAGTGGGAGGGCCACTATTCTCCATCCTCATCGCTATGATACTTCACCTTGTTGATGGGAAGCTTCCCACCGGAGTGGAAATCATCTATCGGACAGATGGCAAGCTATTCAACCTCAGCAGACTGAAAGCCAAAACCAAGGTTACAACAACATGTTATAGAACTCCAGTATGCTGATGACAACGTCGTCTGTGCGCATTCAGAAGAAGATCTACAAGCCACTCTAAACACCTTCGCAGAAGCATACGAGAAGCTCGGCCTGTCAATGAACATTGAAAAAACCAAGGTGCTTTTCCAGCAGTCACCAGCCAACCCCTCTCCAATGCCAGAGATACAGCTTAATGGTGTAACATTAGAAAATGTTGATCATTTCCGCTACTTTGGCAGCCACCTCTCCACCAAAGTCAACATCGACACCGAAATACAACACCAGCTGAGCTCTGCAAGTGCAGCATTTTTCCGAATGAAGCAGAGAGTGTTTGAGGACCAGGACATCCGTAGGGATACCAAGGTGCTTGTTTATAAAGCTATTGCCCTCCCAACCCTGCTCTATGCCTGCGAAACGTGGACTGTCTACAGACGTCACATGCAACTCCTGGAACGATTCCATCAGCGCTGCCTCCGGAAAATCCTGCAAATCTTCTGGGAAGACAGGCGGACAAACGTCAGCGTGCTGGAAGAAGCAAAGACCACCAGCATTGAAGCGATGGTTCTCCGCCATCAACTCCGCTGGACCGGCCACGTTGTCCCGATTCCCCACCACCGTCTCCCAAAGCAGTTGCTCTAGTCCGAACTCAAGAACGGAAAACGGAATGTTGGCAGACAGGAAAAGAGATTGAAAGAGGGGCTCAAAGCCAACCTTAAAAACTCTGGCATAGACACTGAGAACTGGGAAGCCCTGGCCCTTGACCGCTCCTGCTGGAGGTCAGCTGTGACCAGCAGTGCCGCAGAATTTGAAGAGGCACAAATGGAGGGCGAAAAGGAGAAGTGTGCCAAGAGGAAGGCGCATCAAGCCAACCCCGACCGAGACCGCCTTCCACCTGGAAACCAATGCCCTCACTGCAGAAAAAGATGCAGAGCAAGAATAGGGCTCCACAGCCACATACGGACCCACAAGAACACTGGAAGACAATCATCCTCGGAAAGCGAGGGATCACCTAAGTAAGTAAGTAAGTAAGGGGGGGCCACATGTACAGGATAAAATGTTAAAAACTCTAATGAGATAAAAATAGGAGCAAGTTATTTGCAGGGAGCTCATAAAGATACACAAGGTTGTGAAACTAAACTTCCCATGGGGGGGGGGGGGGGGCTGTACTCCAGTGGGGATCAATAGTGTTGTGTGGTGCACCTACTCGCCAAAGATATCTGATACGTTAATGGAGGCTCCTTCAAATGTTCATTACCAAGTGTCTGAAGAGGAATAAATACTCAACCCTGTCCTGGTGAAAGAAAAATATGTGATCAAAAATAAGTTGATATTATTGAAGAAAAGCAGGGGTCGCCTCTTGCTATAAATCGAAATACACTTAAGACAAGAGACCTATAAAAACTGATTAAGGGTAAACAGAAATCTCAACAGAAAGGGGGGAAACATGGAAATCAACAAAATCTGGCTACCAGTATTTAAAACTCCAAAATCAGGACAGTATATAGAGAGGAACACTCTGAAAACAGGGGAATTCCAGACAAGAAACAATCAGGGCCAGCTAACACCTCCCAACAAAGGATTCCCCCAGGCAGGAAGCAGCCACACTTTGAAAGTGCAAGGCCATTCAATGCTAATCTGCTGCTCTGTTTTCTTCTTGCGTTAAAATGCATACATTGTCCAGGAGATATTGAATGGATATTTTTGCATTCCCCATTGCAAACTGTGGATTAGTTGGGAGAACAAAATGCTAGTATCCATGTACATATTTGCTTTGCAAGTATTTATTTTTGAATTGGGTTAAAAGAAAAACATTGTTCCTATCCTTTTAAGAGGTATTCTGTAGACACCAGTGGATCAGGTATTCTGGGGCAGTATTGGATCTCTGAAGGATCACAGGCATTTACAGGTGGTTCTCTCATCATCATGCTTCTTGCTGGAGATGAAAGCATTTCTTGGACCGGGCTGTGTTGCAGCTAGTTAGTAGCCAGCTGCATTAAATCACTACTGAGTTCGAAGTCAAGAGTGAGCTCCTGACCATTAATAGTCTGGCTTGCTGTCGACCTATGCAGCCTGAAAGATAGCTGCATCCGTCAGGTAGGAAATGTAGATACCTCTTCATGCGGGGCGGCTAATTTAACTAATTTACAACACCATAAAACCTTCCAGCAGTGTGTGTAAGAATGAGGAAGTACTCCATCAAGGACTCGTTGTCACAAGTAGACGGTGAAGTGGCAGCTCCCCCTGTGGTTGGAATCGAGCATAGCCTCATGAAGCCGGAAATCTGGAATGTTAAATTGCCTCTGTGTCTGTCTATATATGTTGTATGTCTAAATGGCATTGAATGTTTGCCACGTATATGTGCATTGTAATCCTCCCTGAGTCCCCTGCGGGGTGAGAAGGGCGGAATACAAATACTGTCAATAAATAAATAAATAAATAATCAATCAAGCTGGGCAATTCTAGCATTCACACTTGCCTCAAGCATACAAGAATTCTTTCTCCCACCCTGGATATCCCAGATATATAAACCTCCCAACTTCTAAGGATGCCTGCCATAGATGTGGGCAAAACGTCAGGAGAGAATGCTTCTGGAACATGGCCAGGTAGCTCGGAAGACTCACAGCAACCCAGATAAATACGATTGTTAAGACACATACGGAGCAAACGTTTACCTTCTTAGTGATATTGCCAATGCCTTAACGGCAATGCCTCTGGTGACTTTAATCCAAAGGTCAAGGAAAACAGGAAGACGGCAGAATGGAAATGACAATGAGAAGGTCGGTTGCTGTTTTGAGATTTCCTATTTCAATTTACAACACTAACATTTTAAAAGAGATGCTGCAAGCTTGTCACACCGTGTCAAATAAAGAGCATTTCCAAGTGTGGATAAATACTAATATTGTTTAGTGGTTTCAAAATAAGTGAAGGATGGCATATAAACAAAGCCATCTTGGAACTTTTAACACATGGAACCAGATTGTGGGTTTTCCACTCATGTGGCAGGACAGCCCTTGGTTCCATGTTGTATCCGGAGACCACAATCACACAGAGACCACAGAGGAAGGGAAGCGCATTCCTACAGAGAGTAGTCAAGGGCTCAAAATTTGTCCCATTCGTTTGATTCGTGTTTCCGTTTAGTTCCGTACATTTGGATAACACAAAATGGAAAGGCCCCTCCTGGAACGAAAATGCAATCGAAACGAAAGGCAGGCGGGAGCAGGTACCAGCTCCAAGCCTGCTTTTCAGATCGATTGCCTTGGGCCTGGTAGGGACTGCAGCTGAGCGTTAAGTAAGGAGTGCTCCTTACTCAGCGCTTGGCTGCATGCCCTGCCGGGCCCGGTTACATACTCTCAAAACCTGTACCCGTAGACCCAAAGCAACGGGGTGCCTGCAGCCAAGCTCCGAGTAAGTAGCACTCCTTACTCAACGCTCAGCTGCAGGCTCTGCGAGAACCAGGCACTTTGGCTCTACGGGGTGAACCCCCTCCCCATAGGCCCAGGCGCTTTGAGTCTACGGGGTGAAGTCCCCCCCACAGGCCAGGTGCTTTGGGTCTATGGGGTGAAGCCCCCCCCAAATAGGCCTGGGCACTTTGGGGTGAAGTCCCCCCCCTTCCCCAATAGATGTTTTGGGCCTAAGGGTGAAGTCCCCACCCCAATAGGCCCAGGTGTTTTGAGCCGACAGGGTGAAG